TCTAAAGTGGAGTGCCATTCTTGGTAGAACATATTTATAGACCGATTCCGAAATTCATTAAGAAACATATTGACATTTCCAACTGACTGACATAGCCATATAAAACCAAAACCATGCGAAAATAAAAGATTTCTTATATGCGATGTCCAAGTATTCTTTCCCATGTTATCTAAATGTAGAAGCATGTTATAAGCTAATTTGGGGAGACGTTGTTCATGCATATGAAGAATTTTAAACCAGTATTTTAAACATCTGATCTGAGAGTTAATATATAATGGGTATCTACCACATTCACCATAAACCATGCAATTTGGTGTAGAAGATCCGACACAAAGAAACTTTTTACATGCTAATAAGTGAACCTTCTCTAAACAGTCATAACGTTGAAATCCCCATACTTCAGAACCATACAATAAAATTGGTTGTATCTGGGTATCAAAAAGCTTCAAGAAGATATTAGGTGACATCGATCCCACTTTATGAGAAATAGAAATTACACTTATTAAAGCTTTCTTTGCACGCAAGGACAAGTCAAGGGCACATTTGTTCCAATTCATTGTGTGTGAGAACCAGATTCCTAAATATGAGTAGTGATCTACTATATTGACTAACTGACCATCGAATGACCACTATCACAATTTTGTTTTTTTCCAAGTTTACTGATAATTTCCATTCTTTCGTGTATGTACTTAAAATATTTAATTGCCTTTGAAGACCAACAACAGTATCTGACACTAGAATAAAATCATCTGCGAAAAGTAGCATTATAATATGTGGTATTCAAGCTCTTAATTTGGTAGACACAAATATTTTGTATGTTTGTTGAAATAAGTCAGCAAAATAATCTAACACACAAGAAATGCCAGATGAATAATTATATCCATTGGCTCCTAAACATTGAATGGACATATACCTGGAGGTTACATGTATATGACAAAGACCATTATACCCATCATTTTCATTGGAATAATTTTTTTCTAGAATGCAAACCAATGTAACTAGCAAATGTTTGAAAATACTTGCAAAATCAGGAAAAGTCCCATTTACTCAAAATGTCTAAAAATACTACCATGTATTTCGAGTCCAAACCATCACAATTTCTTTATCCAAATATAACCCAATCTTGGTATTACACAAGTAATACAATTAATACAACCATGTGTCACAATAACCTCCTATGCCACCTTGAACATTGACATATATAGCACCAACATTTAATGTGGCAGTGCTTGTAAAGACATATGTACATATATAGTTTCATGTCTACAGAGAAAACTATGCCTCATACAATAATTAAAATGTGTTTTGGAAATATCGGAACACTGACCTTAACCTTTAATAATTTTAACCCAAGCCTAAACAAAGCAAGTACCCATCTTAAAGTAGGCATATACAATTCTGATAAATGCATGAATACCCCCTTCTTGGAAAGCGTAACCACAAACGTTTTTGTCTTGTGACATGGACATTTTACCAAACCAATTCCCAAGGAACATTTTGAAAAAGTCCATTGAAGAATAATCTCCCAAGTAATTAATCTTTGAGTATTAGTCATAAAAATATAAACCCTCTTACATGACAAATAAATTATCTTGTTCAATAGTTACTTTCATACAGCCATTTGTATTACCTTCCATAACAATATGAAAATGTACAGCATAATGTCACACATCCGACATTCTGTGCATATATAAAATTACACATCAACAACTTTCTGAGTTGTGGCAGAAAGCAACAGTTTCCAACACTTCCCATGGCAGACATGCATCGAGTTGGTGCAGTCTTCATGATCTACTGTCATGAGCAAAACTCTACTTCCATGACAGTATCAGAACACCCCCCACCCCCCTCTGTATCCGCCCATGCGTTACAATACGTTTACACAATCAGACGTGTGTTAGACTGGACTGTATTGTAAAATGGCGATCATGTCATGCGACTGACATCGAATATTTGTTTGTGTTATCAGTTGAGTACAAAAATCGTACTCAGGGTTAGCACCCAGTCACGGACCTGGCGTTGCCTGGCGTTAAGACCACAAAACACACGTGTCGTTTTTTATAAAACCAAATGTCGCATTTAAATTCAAAATACAGATGTTTTGCTGTAATTTCCATATTATTATCAACCGGAAATTAGTCAAACGTAGAAATCCAGGCTAATTAATAGCAAAGAGATGCACTTAATACAGATAAATTCATGACTATATATTCATTTTTGTTTTAGATTACAACGCCAGATATATACCAACTGACTGCATTATCACAAGTACTAAATATACTCACCAGAACCAACCTGTCAATTCACAGCGGCGCACTGGTGCAATGCAGCTTGAGCAACGACTATTAACGCCTGTCATCAGCGCATTTTATGACAGCCTACCACGTGACTAGTTACAGAGGCATTTCAACAAGTATGTCTGTGATCCAAGCCCCACATATACGTGCATTGGGCTGAATTCAAAGAGAGAGAGAGAGAGAGAGAGAGAGAGAGAGAGAGAGAGAGAGAGAGAGAGAGAGAGAGAGAGAGAGAGAGAGAGAGATATTAACATTTTAAGTTCAAGTCCCTATACTGAAAGGGGTCTCCCGATAACCTTGTGTTATATGTTGCCTATCGTGACGTCCTAAACAATAGAATAGTATAGTGTGATTTGCATTTCGTATTTCATTTGTAAAACAGCTGATTAGGGGATATTTAAAACATTAAATAAATATTTAGTCCCTTTCGCAAAAGAGAAAAAGTAAAACTAAGAATGATAATAGGAAATTATGTCAGCAAAGTAACCCAAAATATAGAGAGATGTGTATCATCTTCCCGAAATGATTAGCATGTAGAATAGATTCTAAAACACCCACCGCCAGCCTGTATTGAACAACATCAACTGGCATCGTCAAAGCAAAGTGTACATGTAATTGTTACAATCGGGCTGGCGGTGAATCTTAATGAAAAACACCTTGTTAAAAAGATACACCGAAACTGATTTGCATAACTGATGACCACAACATATTACAAAATATTAAAACAGTAAAAATGATACAGTATAACCTCATACTCAATCGCCAGCTGTCAATATACAAAACAGAATAATACATCAAGATGACAGTTTTCATGTAAAGATTAAGTATTTGTAAGCAAATTTAAGTTGCTTAGAAATACTTAATCTTTACATGGAAACTGCCATCTTGATGCATTATGATGTATTGTATATTGACAGCTTGTGATTGATTGTTACCAGATGGCTCCAGCTGGGGTAGCAGACGACACACTTTCCAACAATGGGGAAAAGGGTAAAAATATGAGTAGGCTGGTTATCATCGAGCAGACGACTCACCAGTCTAAGATGTATTGAAACAACACACACTTAATTCTCAACCTTATCTAATGTTAATTCAACAATTTATAACGACAACCAAACACAAAGTAGTTTCAAACATTTATTATGATAAAACACAAAATTATAAATTTGGCGTATGGGGAATTCTCAGGTTTGATTACGGGTGCCCATGATTGAGCATCAATCATGCCAAGCATTGGAAACGATTTGGCCACTTGCAAATAATAACATGACACGGCCAAATCGTTGGCACTAAGTGTGTACATGATCGAGCATCGGTCATGCCCAAGCATTGGGATCAAACGCTGGCTATAGTTCTGAGCCTCAGAGCACAGCGAGTGACTACACAGAACGGTACAAATGGTGCGATAAATGAGCATACAAGTAGCCTACAAGTTGGATGTGGATTATTGAACTTTAGGGGGAACTATCCCAGCAATTTGAGGAGGATAGTAAGGCCACAATTCGAGCCAGATGTGGATAAAATAAAATACCATGATACAGCTGGCTGAGAATACCCCATAAAGAAAATAATACCTAGTAATGGCATATAGGATTATTACGCCTGAACGACATTGGACTTGGACTATAACGCCAAGGCTTACTCTGAAGGAGTTACACCATTGAGAGGCTGCACAGGAAGATTGACAAGGTCAGACAAAGTAAGAGTCAACCATAAGATTAGTGCACTATCACTGAAGCAAAGAATTTGCATAGAAACTGCTACAAAGAGTATATACACAATGTAATAGCCAAGGATAAACGGGCTGCTGAGCATGCTAAGTATGAGCAATATTGCGCTGAGCTGCCGCTATGGAGCCCTTATCGACTCTGATATACCGAGCGTAGCAGTCTGATTTCCAGCGTCCTAAGGCTTTAATCATATGGTCTGGTACATGAGCTGCAGCTGCAGAAGTGGCCGCTCCGATTCTGAAAGAATGTCCGTTGAATTTCTTGTAGTCATATCCTGCTGCCGCCAGAGTTTGATGTAGTTTATGAATAAAATAGTCACGGTGGAGAGGTATACCACAATCGGTGAGGAACAATGGGTCCGAGGCACGGGCCTGAGACTGATTGCGCAGGTTAACATAGTTTTTCATTGCCTGAACGGGGCAAGTTGGTCCGGGCACTGCATGTACAGTAATTGTCACACCTTTCCCTAGCTGATCAGTCTTTGATTGCTTGAGAAACAGATCAAAGCAGGTGTATTCCTCGTTGAAGGTAATCGAATTCATGGATAAATGTTTTTGATACACATATTTGGCACAAGTGAATTCATCACATCTCAAAAAGGCATAGAAGGCTAGACTAAATACAGCCTGCAATAACATCTTAGTATAATGATTGAACAAACGCTTGTCCAATTGGAAACACAAATTGTGCAACACATGAATAGTTATAGGTAAACGCTCTGCTGCCGGCACGCTCTGTATCCGTTGAATTGCTTTCATGATGGTCTCTAGCCTAAGAGTGTTACATACTGACCATGGATTCTCAATTCCATGTCTTAGATAAGCAAACCTCACAGCAGCGAGATAGCTCCTGATTGTTGTACACTTATAATGTAGTTTGTAGAAGCAGTGTGCTACAAAGCACAAGAGGGTTTGTTCTGTGATAGGAGGCAAAGCAGCAGGCCACCAGCGTACACTTCACATGGCCATGAAGTTCAGGAAATTATGAAGTCCTGATTTATAAACCGCCTGCGTTTTCGTGGAGAGTGCTTGTGACCAGAGTTTGTTGAGATCTGAGCAGGTGGAATGGTGATTGCTGTGATTGGAAGACATGGGGTAGGCACACTGTCTGCCTTGGGAGCTAGCTTCTTGAATCTGTCCATCTGTAATCGAGATAAAGAATCAGCTATGCAGTTATCTTTACCTGGTACTTGAGCAGCAACAAAATGGAAGTTACCACAAACAGCGGTCAGTACGAGCTTTCTGACCAGTCTCATGATGAAAGGTGATTTTGATCTACACTTATTGATGATCTCTACGGTGCTACTGTTATCACAATGGAATTTAATGTTTTTCCTTGACCAGTAATTTCCCCAAATTGCAGCAGCCATGACAATTGGATACAGTTCAAGTAGTGCTATTGACAGGTCACCATTCAGGATATCGAGCAAGTCTGTTTGCCACTGCTGTGCGAACCATTTACCCTGATAATAAGCACCATAACCGATGGATGCTGCTGCATCTGTGTAGAGTTCTATCTCTGGTGCTGCGATCTCGTCCTCGTAGAAGAATGATATGCCATTCCAGTCTGTTAAAAATGAACGCCACATCGAGAAGTCTAGTTTGCACTCCTGGGTAATATTGACATGGTGATGTAGCTGGGGGACAGAATGTGCCAGCTTGAGCAGGTAGCTAACAAAGGCTCTACCTGGTTTAATTACCTGCATTGCAAAATTTAAATGTCCTAACACACTCAACAGTTGTCGTTTGGTGACCTTCCTTCTCTCTTGGACTGAATCGACGACAGCAAAGATTCTAGCTACTTTATCAGCTGGGAGTCGCGCTTCCATCTTGTCAGTGTCCAGGATGATACCAAGGTACTCTAAACATGTCGTAGGGCCAATTGTTTTCCTTGGTGACAAAGGAATCTTGAGATTGTTGAAGAGATGTCGCAATTTGCTCATGGTTGCATTGCCCTCGTTCTTATTTGCGTCAATTGTGAGAAAATCATCAAGTAGATGAAGAATATGAGGAATGTGGTACACGTAGGTTGCGATCCAACAGATGGCTTGAGATAACAGGTCAAAAATTTTAGGGCTGGATCTGGATCCAAAAACCAGTCTGGTAAAGTAGTACAAGCAATTGTCCCAATGGATACCATGTAGATGCCAGAGAGAGTGATGTATGGGTATCAGTTTGAAAGCATCCACAATATCAGCTTTGCACAGATAGGCGTGTCGTCCAAGATGTTTGATGATTTGTATGGCGTCATCCAGCTTGACATACACCAGGGAGTACTGTTCTTTGTCGATGAGGGAGTTTAGACTGGGATTGTGATGGTCGTTATGCGGTGCTGATAAATCAACAATCATGCGTTGTTTCCGAGAATACTTGCCTTCCACGATCCCTATGGGATTGATGCGATGATAGGGAAACGGGGACTCTGTGAACGGACCAATAAGGTAACCCTTATTTAGCTCCGTTTGTAATAAGTTATTAGTGGCATTTGGATCCTTATTGGCAGAGATGAGATTCTTGCAGAATTTTGATTGAGCAGGAGGGTTTTGAATACCCGTAAAGAATCCCTTTGTCATCCCTGCTATTAGTCTTGTCACGAAGTCATTGTCTGGATGGTTGAGCATGTTGGCAGATAGGCGATGGACGGAAACCGGGGAGGGAGTTGCACCTAGTCAGTTCTTCTTTGAAGATGTTTTATCTTTTCTTTTGCTGATGCTTTCTTCTGTGTCTAGACTTCGGCACTTCAGGACAGAGTGGGGTTTACGACAGAAGGAACACAGATGTCTGTATTTGCAGTTGACATGGATGCACTTGTCGGCATTGTAATTATTGCAAATTGCAAACACTATGTTGAGAATGTAGAGGGAAAAGGGCTTCACTTTGAGCACCTTGTTTTCTTTAAATCCGCGATCTGAGACACTATACAGTGGTATATAGGTAGATAAAATACTAATCTATAGGTGTGAATTCATTTCATGTTAGATCTGTGGGGTTTAAGTTAATTTTGACGGCCCGGGCCAACACCGACCGAACACTTGTGAGACTGTTGAGAGTATGGGGAGAAGAGGTCTACTTTAACCAACGCGTCTGGTTTAAATACGATGAACAGTGACATTATTAAGTGGTATTTACTTAGATATAGTACGTTCCTATGAATATAAACGCTACGCCGACAGATGGAAATTTGTATCACGATAGCTTGAAGTATTTGATACTTTTCAAATCTTATTTCGTTTAACGATTGATCTTTTACATGTTACCTCGATAGCGACGCTTACACACAGCTCCACTTTCTGGTTTTCAAGTGATTTACTCCGAATTACTTAATTATGGTGCACGTTTTTGCTTGGTGATTGTTCAGTAATGGCATATGTGTATGTTGCATCAATAATATGTAGGTATGATCGCCGATAATTAAGTAATTAGCCAATAACACTTTTGTCCGCCCGACTTTTAGGAAATGCCCTCAACTATTAACTATTGAACTGCATGGCAAGTATTTATAAAACGACCGAAGGTTTAGGGGGGGGGGGGGGGGGAGGGAGAGGATATATTCTGGGGGGAGATTTTACTTCGTAGGTGGGGGGAGAGTTTATTTCGAGAGGGGCGGAACTGTACCGGTATAAATTGGCCGGGGGGAGATTTTATTCTGGGGGCGAATATACTTCGTGACACCGGCAACAGTGTTCCTTAGAATAACACACCACTTCTACCCTTACTGTATCTAGACGTGTGATAGAATGGGCCTGATTCTATCAATCAGCTGGTCATGTCATGCCCTGTGCATATAATATGTTGCGCAAAATGTTGGTATTTTGAAATTGTTCTTGGCCAAACAAAACGTTTCATTTTAACTTTCTATTATGTATGTATCCATCTATCAACATACTTAGAGGGCTATGCTGAGAAGACGGTGGCAATCTAATCTGGTAATCCTGACCTCCGAATACTGTACGTCTCCAATTGATTGTCATGGACCGAACCAGCCTGACTCTTCATTTGATAGATAGCTATAGCTTTTCATGTAAAATGTCCGGGAGTATAACACCCCTTTATCCTCGGTCTTAGCAGCTTGGAGATCCGTTGCAGAATAAGACCTCGTTGACATTCGGTGGAGGGTGGGGAAAAGGGGTGCAGAATCGGTTTCCATTCGACATGGCTGGTTCAAACACCCTGGGTAAAAAAAGAACACACATTGCTTCTGAAAGTTCCTCGTCTGTCGAGAATATGCTCATTCAATCTGGTTATTGGCCCCGTTTCTTGGTTATCGAAGCTTGTGACAAAGAACCCATGAAACTAAATCCATTTGCACTCACCAAAAGGAACCACTGGTATCTGCTGAGAGGTTAAAAATATCACAAAAAGCTTCGATCTGTCTCTCTCCTTGTAGAAAGTGCACGGAGACCGATATCTGCTCAAATTAAAATAGTTTGTCAATATATCAAGCTTGCTGTGTCAGTGCACAAGACACTGAACTCGCAATGTCCGGCTCGACAGAAGATCAGAAGGAACATGAACAACACTCACAGCTGTCAAACGATTTACTGTAAAGAACGAACGTGTGAGATTGAACCCGACTAACACCTATCTCTTCACATTTGCTGGGAACCTCTATCCCTCAATCTGTCAAAGCTGGTTATAGGAGCGGCACTGTATTTCCCGAACCCACTCCGGTGCTACTCCTGCCAAACGTGTATGCAAGTCATGCCATGCCTCTGCTGTTTGCCACCGCTGTGATGACGAGCACGAGAGCACTGACATCAGGAAGAAAACTGCAAACTGCGGTTGGAACTACATAGCCTCTTCTATATTCTGCGCATTGTGGCAACGAGAATCCCAAATCCTAAAATTCAAGCACAAACAAAATATCTCCTTCCATGAAGCTAAGAAGAGGGTTGCAAGTATCACTTCATCCACAATTTCTTTCTTTTCCGTCCCGTCACAAATGCCTCTATTGTCTGCCAGACTGATTGAGTGAGTGAGTAAGGATTTACGCCGCTTTTAGCAATATTCCAGCATTATCTTGGCGGGGGACACCAGAAACGGGCTTCACACATCGTAGCGATGTCGGGAATCGAACCCAGGTCTTCAACGTGCCGAGCGAACGCTTTAACCACTAGGCTACTCCAGACACGCTTCATGTCATTTCCAAGATATCATGTGGTATCATTGCACATGCTCGGAAACCTGTTGTAGATAGGGATTTCAATGTTAGATCGAGTGATAAAAGACAATACCAGTGTCAGTAATATGCATTCTATAATTATGTTAATTTAGTGATGCGCCTCACAGGACGAGACCCTTGTCACATTTGGAGTGTGGTGGCGTTGTAAAAGATTTTACGTGCGCCTGAGATTGTGATTGTCTTGACAGAAGTTAGCAATTTATCGACAAGATTACTGTGATCATTTCAAAAATGTCATGTGCGACTATTGGGAAAACATTCCGAGAAGAAATGTCAACTTTCTGTAGTCACACAAGAACAAAGGATAACGCTAATGTTGAAAAGATTCTTTACATGTCACTTGAAAATCGGTCTGACGAGAATTGCCAGAATTGTTTCCATAAACATGTGACCCGTGAGGATCCGGGGTAGAATGGGTCTTCAACAACCTATGCTTGTCGTAAAAGGCGACTATGCTTGTCGTAAGAAGCGACAAACGGGATCGGGTGGTCAGGCTCGCTGACTTGGTTGATGCATGTTATCGATCCCAATTGCGTGGATCAATGCTCATTATATCCGTCACTGGATTATCTGGTCCAGACTTGATTATTTACAGACCGCCGTCATATAGCTGGAATAATGCTGAGTGCAGCGTTAAACAACAAACCAAACCAAAAACAAAAACATAAACATGTAAACTTAACAAGAGTCATCAGAAAGATGACATATCCCCCGGCAGAGAGACATGCAATGTTTGGCAAGGAAATATTTAACAGTTTACTTGTTATAAGTGAATCCCACCCCAATTGAGTCTATGTCTAACTTCATTCCATAAAAATAAAAAAATAAAAAATTAGAAAAATCCCAAAATATCAAAAGGCACCACTTCAGTATGTGCCTGATAGCTTTGTTAAGTTTCAATCAAATACACTGAATTGTTTGCGAATTCTGCCCCGGAAACGAACCCCACCCCAATTGAGTCTATGTCCAACTTCATTCCATAAAAATTTAAAAAAATAAAAATTTAGAAAAATCCCAAAATATCAAAAGGCACCAGTTCAGTATGTGCCTGATAGCTTTGCCAAGTTTCAATCAAATACACTGAATGGTTTTCGAATTCTTTCCCGGAAACAAACACCATCCCCAATTGAGTCTATGTCCAACTTCATTCCATAAAAAAATTATAAAAATAGAAAATAGAAAAATCCCAAAATATCAAAAGGCACCTGTTCAGTATGTGCCTGATAGCTTTGCCAAGATTCGAGGAAATGATTACGGACGGACGGACGGACAGACGGACTGGCTGATCGCTATATCCCCCCGCATTACATGCAAGTAGGGCTTGCCACATACACACAACTGAAAACAATTGAAAATGACTCTATTTTATTCACATGTTTGTAATATGTAATTTTCTCTCTTACCAAGGATATGTGTCATTTGCCTCAAACACACACTTGTTACCAAAAGAAGTAACTTTGTGCTTGACAGGTTTTGCAAGCTGCATTCATATTGAATGAGGTTAAATTTTTCATATCATCTCTCATGGGAAAAGGTACAGAATAGTACAGAGTTCAGCATACATGACGTAAATGACATTATAGTCATTATCTTTGCAAACCAGTGGTTGATAGCATTACCAATCCATGCCACACAATCAACCAGGTCAAACATTCTGACCCCACCCCTCTCCCCCAACTTATTCTGCCCAAAATACCAACATGGCCTCGTGGTTAATGCCTACTAAGCATACCCACTATGGAAACAATGTGTGTAGTCCATCCTTGGGCATCGCTCACTATAACTGAATAAAGCTAAAATTGCGTAAAAGGCACTCATTTCTTAGAAAGCTGTTTGATGTTTAATGCCGCACCTAGCAACATGTAAACATACAAGGGTGGACAAGACAACCCTGTCGATTGATATTATGAGCAGCATTCTATCCTATCGAGGACACCCAATCAATAATGTCATGGAATCAGTGTACTCCCGATTGAAAAATAGACATATGGGAAATGAAACCCAGACAGGCGAACCCTGCAACTGTTAGGCTACCCTAGCTCCCCTAAGTGCAATGTGATCATATAACAATATTGAGAAGACAAATAACAAAGATAAAAGCAAGTTTATAAACTTTTAATGAACAATAGGCTACAGAAAGAAAAATCAAACACAATACACTTAAAGTAAGAGTTAGAATGATTTACTTTACAATACATGTATGAATCTAGCTGTAACAAAATGCGCCAAGGCACCGTTGCCCATCAAGATACATCCAACTGGGCTGAATGTTATATGAAGTGAAAAATGTAGCCACCTATTCATCATGTAAAGAAAGAGTGGCCATCTTATGAAGGCTGTATGATTCCAATGGAATATTCTTTATGAATTTAAAGTCTTTAAAGAACATTGCAATGGTAACAAAACATTCATGTACAGTATTGCTGCATTTTGGAAAAA